GCTCCACTTTGACTGTGGTATCATTAGGATGCTTCCAAATACCAGATCTTCGTCATCTGGGAAGCACCCCACTGTCTTGAATGTGGAACCTGGTGGGAATCCTTCACGAAAATAATGGTTGGATCCGAAGGAGCCATCTGTTCCATTTTCGTGAGAGACACCCCAAAAAACGTTCTCTGTGAGATTGCCAGAAGGATCAGTAGATGTTGTGACTTCCAACAGAAGCTGAGGCTCTCCACCCTGGCACAATTCACCAACTTTGCAACTGCCAACATTGGTCGTTTGGTTATGTTCGTCACGAAAGGTACCAAAGCTGAATTCTCTATTCCTCCAAATAATTCCATCCTTCTTGAGCTGGTAATGGCCCTCATCCCAAGAGTGGTTTCTTTCATCCCACTCCAGATAGGGCACAGATACTTCAAATTAGTAGCACCCATCTCTCGCAGCACACTCCCGGGCATAGTGAATGATATCATGGTTGATGGGGAGAGAGTTGGCAGAGTCGAGAGGGATGTCAGATCTGTTGTATATCGCTGGTGAATCAAATGTATGTTCGAGAACCACTTCTTCAGCTCGACTTCCTATACCCTGGAGTTTGTAGCTGAGGGGTGGATTCTCATTGTCAAGTTGGTTGCGATGCATCAAGAACTCAAAAAGGGACTCATTTTCACCACATGCATCCACACAGGCATCCCCAAAGTCCACTGCAGCGAACTGTGCATTGTTGTCCTGTGCAATTACTCCTCCGTCTACTTTGACAAGTATGTTGTCATTCTTGTAAAGGAGACCTTCATTTGAATTGCTGATTCTGGCTCCAAACAGGAATCTAAGACAATGATCACGGGTTGATGGGACACAGGAACGGATAAAACTGTACTCCTCCGGAAAAATGTTAGTGTTGCTGCAGCCTTTCAAATACTTGCAACCAATAATCTCTTCACCTTTGCCAGCGTCTTCCACAGTGGCATCACCATCAATAGTGGTAACATCTTCAAGCTCCAGCGGCCCAGATAGTCTGCCTCAGCCTCCAACACTCTTCCAACGGTGCGGCCCATCACCAGAGATAGAGTCCCTCCTGGCTTGTATTCTCTTAAGTGGATCTGAGGAGTGCTGCCAAAGGTGACCTTCCTGTGGTCAAAGGCCTTCCTCACAGCTGCCTGAATCTTTCGTCGATTAGAGGATGCTTGATGATATCATAGATACGGTACATGTATGTACATTCGAGAGTGATTCCCCGCAAAATCCCCGCAGCGTAATCCACTCTCTCTATTCTGTTTTGTTGGCGCAATAAGTCAGCGGGAGCTGCGATACCTCCCCAGAAAGACAGATAGAAGAAGGATGACATGTTTGAGATTGCACCCTTCTTTCAAGGTAGCCCCGGCGACAACACCCGACTTCGTCGTGGGTTGCCGCCCGATATCATTCCCTCATTATAACCTTCGTTTTTATTTAAGCTAGCCCTGGCGACAACACCCGACTTCGTCGTGTGTTGCCGCCCACTATCATTCCCTCATTGTAACCTTCTGTTTTATATTAAGCTAGCCTTGGTGTTGCCACTGGCTAACCCATAATTTAGAGCTATCATTCGATCATGTAACCCTAGATTTACAACACCTGCTGGCTTATTGTGTTTTTGTGCTGAGTGCACTAACCTTAAATTACATTGATATATTTCTACCCCTAACTTTTTATTGAACCTTCAATTTCCAGTTTTGCCAGCTTATATTATCTCTATCCTTATACCCTGGCTTCACCGGAATAGGGAATCCCACAGACAGGAAATGAGGGGGATCCCACAGACACAAAACAAGGGGATCCCACAGACAGAATATTTGCCAAAAAAGGGGTAGAGGGCTCAGGCAGATAGACTGCCGAGGTAAATGAAGTTTTACTCGCTGGTTACCCTACAAATAATTGAAATGGAGGTTCAATTTTAAAAATAATACATGTAAGACTCTACTAGGCTTCAAACAACAAATACGTGAAGTACTACTGGGTACTGCCACTTCTTAGGCAGCTGCTGATTGCTCCTTCCAACAGGTTTGTCGCTTATGGCTTGGTGAAGATCGCCGTCATCAACACTGCCACAGATCCAACAATACTGATACTTGCACTGCTGGCGCCCGAGCTTGAAGAAGTTGGGGCTTCAGTTCCTGAAGTCATTGCTTCTTCAGCTGCTTCCGAGTCCTGCGCTACCCCGCAGGTACCATTCAGAGGAGCAATTGCATAACCATCAAAGACTCCATCTTGTTTGAGGCGGCAGTCAAGCTCGACAGAGTTCTTCTCCACTTTGACTGTGGTATCATTAGGATGCTTCACAAAAAATATCAGATCTTCGTCATCTGGGAAGCACCCCACTGTCTTGAATGTGGAACCTGGTGGGAATCCTTCACGAAAATAATGGTTGGATCCGAAGGAGCCATCTGTTCCATTTTCGTGAGAGACACCCCAAAAAACGTTCTCTGTGAGATTGCCAGAAGGATCAGTAGATGTTGTGACTTCCAACAGAAGCTGAGGCTCTCCACCCTGGCACAATTCACCAACTTTGCAACTGCCAACATTGGTCGTTTGGTTATGTTCGTCACGAAAGGTACCAAAGCTGAATTCTCTATTCCTCCAAATAATTCCATCCTTCTTGAGCTGGTAATGGCCCTCATCCCAAGAGTGGTTTCTTTCATCCCACTCCAGATAGGGCACAGATACTTCAAATTGTAGCACCCATCTCTCGCAGCACACTCCCGGGCATAGTGAATGATATCATGGTTGATGGGGAGAGAGTTGGCAGAGTCGAGAGGGATGTCAGATCTGTTGTATATCGCTGGTGAATCAAATGTATGTTCGAGAACCACTTCTTCAGCTCGACTTCCTATACCCTGGAGTTTGTAGCTGAGGGTGGATTCTCATTGTCAAGTTGGTTGCGATGCATCAAGAACTCAAAAAGGGACTCATTTTCACCACATGCATCCACACAGGCATCCCCAAAGTCCACTGCAGCGAACTGTGCATTGTTGTCCTGTGCAATTACTCCTCCGTCTACTTTGACAAGTATGTTGTCATTCTTGTAAAGGAGACCTTCATTTGAATTGCTGATTCTGGCTCCAAACAGGAATCTAAGACAATGATCACGGGTTGATGGGACACAGGAACGGATAAAACTGTACTCCTCCGGAAAAATGTTAGTGTTGCTGCAGCCTTTCAAATACTTGCAACCAATAATCTCTTCACCTTTGCCAGCGTCTTCCACAGTGGCATCACCATCAATAGTGGTAACATCTTCAAGCCTCCAGTTCCCCCACCGTAGTCTCCGCTGAAGTGGATAAGCTCAAAAAGGGACTCTTCTGGACCACAATCAGGAATGCAGTTGCCAAAATCAGTAAAGAAGTGAATGGTGCTGTAATCAATATGATCCGGATCACGTGTTCCAGGATACATAGCAGCAAAGGGTTCTCCATCGTCGCCCCATTCAAACTGGTACATATCTGGCGTCAAGGTAGAGATTTCTGCAACATAGCATGCAGTGGCAGGCAAGCAGATTTCAAATGGCTGGACCCACTGTGAGACCCCGTAACGAGGAAAGTCCTGATCTTCCAAGATTTTATTCCATAACCCTGTCTCCGGGGCGAAGTCAGGCTCAGACTGGTACAGTTGAATACAAAAGTTTGAGGGAGCAGTTTCAAAGTTGAATGTGGCTCGGAAGAGCAGCTCATCGCTGAGACAGGAGGTTGTATTCATGGTTGGTAGCAAATAAGTATCCAATCGAGCAACAAATACTAAATAGATACGTTATTAAAAGGAAGAGGTGGGCTAAGCTAGCTAGGTAGAGCAGTGGCAGTGGCTGCGGTGTTACGTGGCTTTCCCGCTTCCTCAGCAGTGTCGCCTTTTAAAACAATAAACTTCAGCCTCTACTATCCCTGCCGGTCACCCTATTTCAACCTTACCTCCCCTTCCTCCCCCCCCTCTCAATCCCCCTTCAGCCCCCGAGCTCTTACGTGGTGATCTTTCCATTCGCGGCTTGTTCGAACGTGGTACAACAGCTATTATTGACGTACGTGTCACTGATTTGGACTGTGCCTCTTACCGAAACAAAGATCCCGTAAAAGTTTTAACCCAACAAGAACGGGACAAAATTTCCAAATATAAAGAAGCGTGCGACTCCAATCGCGCTTCCTTCCATCCCTTTGTTGTTTCTGTGGATGGCATGCTTGCCCCACAAGCCAAGATTCTTTTACAACGCCTTGCTTCTGCTACTGCCTCCAAAACTCAATTTTCCTACTCTCAAATGATGTTCTTCATGCAGACCCGTATCTCAATTGCCCTTGTGAAAGCTACCCATTTATGTCTCCGTGGATCTCGCAAAGCCAAACCCTTTTGCCCCCGTAACGGTCCTCACTTTCTTGCCCCTGATCCCACAGAACCTAGTCCTGAATTTTGCCTGTTCTTTTGCTTAAGCCTGGCCCTGAAAGGAGATCACAAGACGCACAGTTGCCTCGTCCCTCTTGGACACCTCGCCACGTGGAAGGTGGAAGCTTTCTCACAACATCATTCATTTCAACGCCATCAACCTCCTTTCATTTTTTGCAACTGCCAGCAATCTGGACTGGAGTCTGTTGTCGTACTGTAGTTTCTTGACGAAGATGATGACAAGACGAGCAAGGACGGCGTTGGCATATTTGTTGGTGTTTCTGGTAGCCTTTCCGCTGGATCTGATACTTCCTTGTCATGCACAACAAGAGACTACCGGTAGCCAAGAATCGGAAGAAGAACCGCCAACATTGACCACCACCGTGACAATCCCCAAAGATCCAAAGATTGATGATGCCGGTGATACCATCAAAAGCACCGGCAAGAAGACTGAATCACTGGACGAGGTTCAAGACAAAGTTCAAGATGACAAGACTGGGGATATTCCTGGCCAAATAGATGATGTCGAGCTATCAACTTCAGACAACAGTTTCATAAGCGTCGTGGAAAATGATGCACCGAGAATAGAGAAAAGCGAGGAGAGCACCGATAATGGCTCCAATACAGACAAGGAGCCAGATGCTGCCTCTGTGGATGAACCAATAGAACCCAATGCGGATGAAGAAGCAACCGACTCCTCTGCTACCACAGCACACGATGACAGTGAGCCTGCCGATGCTGATGCACACGTTGATACAACAACAAAAGCAACCGATATGGAAAATAGTGCAACAGCAGAACCAGAGGACGCTAAAAGCAAACATAATGATATGGCAGCAAAAGCAGCAGAGGGCAATGAAGGCATAGAGATTGAAGCAACAAAAACGAAGTCGGCAAAGAATGACGCTGCTGAAAGTGACACGGACACTGCAACAATAGAGACTCCTGTCAGTCAGGAAACAGATGAGTCTACAGAAGAGGAACCCCAGTCGTCATCGTCCGAAAAAGATTCTTCCCCAGAACAAGCAGATGCAGCAGAGACAACGGAGACGAGTAGTCAAGAAAAGCCACTATCGGAAGCCTTGGACTCGGAGCCAACGGAGACGACAACGAGTCCCGAGGAGGGTAAGGAACCGGAAAAGAAGAAGCAGGAGACACAATCAGAAGAGAAGGAGGCCGAGAAGCAGCGGACTGAGACGGGGAGCTCAGAAGAGGAGAGTACAGAGGAGAAGCCCACCACCGAGTCAGCGGAAGAGGAGAACACAAACGAACAACCCGCAGAATCAGTGGACTCAGACCAAGTGGAACCGAGTGCAGAGAAGCAACAGCCCACAGAAAAGGAAGCAGAAGAGGAGCAACCCTCAACTGCGACAATTGATTCATCGACTGCACATAAGAAGAGCACGGAGGAGAAGCCCACCACTGAGTCAGTGGAAGAGGAGATCACAAATGAACAACCCACAGAATCAGCAGACGCGGACCAAGTGGAACAGAGTACAGAGGAGCAACAGCCCACGGAAAAGGAAGCGGAACAGGAGCAACCGCAAACAGAGACGGTTGACTCGTCGACTTCAGATAAGAGAGTCCAGAGAAGCAACAAGAGTCAGAAGATCCCATGGATTCAGACTATGTTGATCTGGATGAGATTGGTGGCACTGGCTCGAGCTCACAGGCCGCCTCTCAAGACGATGACAGTGATGCTGAACCAGAAACAAACAGCTCTGATGCCGCCAAAGGGACAAAGGATGACGATGGATCTGATGATTCCACAAAGACGACAACTTCAGCTGATGAAACAGCAAAGGAAAAGCCTCCACCGAAAGAAGGATCCCTTGCCAGTTTCTTCGAAAAGGTAAAGCATCAACAACAACCAAATCTTTCTGGTCAGGCAACCACCACCAAAACAAAAGAGACTCCCTCGAAAGATGACTCTTCTACAAAGAAGGCACCGGATGACTCAAACAAAAAGAGTGCAAGCGAACCTAGTTACAAGGGTTGGGGCCAATACACTGGCAAGCGTTACGCCGATCTGTACATCTTGGGTCTTGCGTTCGACAAGAACCTAGTTGAGGACGGAGAGGCAAGATACAAAAAAGTGTTTGAGCCGATTGATGATTTGGTGATACCCACACGTTACACTGAAATCATGGGAAGCGTTGTTGATGATGAGATCAAAGTTACGTCATCAGATGACGGTGAAAACACGAAAACGGAGTCCCCGACCACGACCATGGATAACCTCAAGGAGCGATTGTCTCCAAACTCTGATTTTGTCGAAGGATTGGATGATATTGACAAGTTCTTCGAAGGCGTAGATCCTCCTGACGAGCTTGATGTCGGCGCTGGCGGGACTAGTATACAAGAAGTCCTTATGGGTCAGACCACAAAGATTATCATCAAACGGATCGTTCGGGGGGCTCAATACGTCTCCACGACCGCCAAAGCAGTTGCAAAGCGAGTCAACCAGTACTTTGCGGATGAGGACCGTGAAATATTACCCAACAAGGAGAAACTCGCCAAAGCAGGGAAATGGGTGACAGAGCAAGGCCGAAACCTATTGGACGGAGCTCGAGACCTGTTTGACGATCTGTTTGGGTCCGATGATGACTTGGGCGGAGATGATTTTGCCAGCTACGATGATATTCAAAAGAAACTTCAGGATCTGGCTGCTGCCAGCGAGAAGTAGTACATGTAGGTTGCACCAGGTTGACTGTAGACCTTATGAGACAAAGCGAAGAATGGCCTTCTGGATCTGAATCTCTGAAACTATTGTTGCCACGAAGCAACTTGAACCACATGAAACTACCGGCCATGTCAAAGGCAACAAGGAACCTACCACGACACTATCTGGCAGCACTCAAGAGGTTGTGACGACGAGCACATCTTCCAGGAGACAGACCCGGGAATGGAGTGCGAGAGCCCTTCCAGCCAAAAGAAATGTCGTGACCCAAGCAAGCCCAATCTAAAGAGACACTCACTAGAGAAATCATGAAAGGAAGCTACATGATAAGTCGCAAGGCTTGATCTGCGGTCGTGTTCAATTCCTTTTTAAAAATAAAAGCGATAAACTAATGACATTGTCTCGGGCTCAAGTCTCTATCTGGCTTTTGATCTCTTGAACTTTTGTTGTGTGTGCCCAGGGCAAGGGTTCCGCTTGTTTTACTGAATGCCGCGAAGAAGGCGGCGAGACAACCAAAGAAGATTCTCATCCTCTACAGCTTGAAGGCATCCGGTGTTGCATTCGTCAGAATCGTCTGTGCCGTCTCCAAGTTCTGAGCCTACACGGTTGTTGTGGAGGTCCATGTCCTGGTCCTCCTGGGTTTGGAAGAAACAACTTTCGTGAATGTCACCAGCCTCCAACGCTTGTTCGAGTCCAATCTCTTGTGTCAAGCGACAAGTGAAATAGCAATGGCGAAATGCATCACGCTTGCCGCTGTGCTCGCCAGGAAGATTCGTGTCACCGGATACTTCCCAGGCTTCCTCGCTGACATCTTTTGCCACCCAGGAATCGTAAGGACCAATGGCTGCAACGAGGTGTCCTCTTTCGGCCCACGAATTACCATTAGTGCAACTGACAAGCTTTGGTGGATACTTCGACAAGAGATCTTCCACTGCTTTGAAGCAAGTCACTTCAAGGCTCGGAGAATTCACGACGATCCGCGAGTCCTTGACCGGAGTTCGTTTGATGCCGTCGGAACACAACACCTCGAGCGTGTTGCTGCCGCTTCGGGGTCCAAACTCCCATTCGTTGCTTCCTTTGTAGACTCTCAGGCAATACTCTTCGCCCTCTTGGAGATCAACACGACTCTCGCCATCTGCATAGTCGGTTGCATGCACGAATTCGATGGTGACCTCGTTGGGATCCTGGACTGCGGGAGTATCATCCTTCTCGATAACACGCCATGCAACCTTGGAGCCCACAGTAGATGTGACGGTAACAATAAAGCCCGGGATGCCCATCAGCTCTCGACTGACGTCCTCTGCGTGCCCTGTTGTAGGCAGGAGATGACCAATAGTGTTAGTTCCGCAAAGAGTTTGTGACCCATGATGTGGTACAAACGCCGTTTCGTGCAGACCTACCTCTGCAAAGAAAAAGGGTCCAGGAGATAAGGGCTGAAAATGACGCAAGTTTCATGTTGTTGTGTTGTGTAATGTTGTGTTGTTGATCAAATTGTTTCTTAGCTTGTTGAATTGTGAGCTTGTTCTCAACTATTGCCAAGATCCTTCATCGCCTTGGTTGATGTTAAGCGAACCGAAGTTCGGAACGCAACCCCGAGAATTGAAAAGATTTTTTATGGACAGCCCCTCAGGAGTGGAGTCCAGTCTGGGAACTTCGCTTAGTTTGCCAATGGAGGAGGTAGCCCCTGCTTGCTTGTTGGCAGGTTCGTGGCTAAGCACCAGCGACCACCACTGACTTGATCGCACGCGGAACGAACAAATCTCGGTTGCCCACGGCAAATCATTCGAGGCTGGGTCTACACAAGCATGTTCAACAATCCTCGAGCCTAATAGAGCAGAAGACTCTTCATCAACTGGTACCAGGTACTATGGTGACATCACCAATCCCAAACCGCAATAAACGAGCTTCCAAAGTCTATGATGTGGAAGATGATTAGGAAGGCCGGGTAGCAGCTTCATCACAAGAAGAAATCCCGCACATGGAAGAAAAACGAGCTGGCTAGGAGCTAGAAACTGAGTGAAGCAGTGGAAACAAGCCAATGACATTCCAGACAATGGGTTTAGGACGCTCTCTTCTTGCATGTTTGTGGGCCGGATACATTGCTCTGAAAGCTGTCTCAATGTTGATTCAAGCTGAATGCGGCAGCAAGGGGATGAGATGCAGAGGTAGACAAGATGGTGGAATTCCAGCACAAAACTTGCAAGCTCAGTCTAAAATGAGAACTATTAATAGCTGGCTGCTATGTGCCTTCGTGGAGATACCAGGGTTCCAGATCCACTGATTCTCCACAACCGCTCTAGTCGCTATTCTTGATCTTCTGGGCTTTGGGGCGACTGACTGTATGTGCAATGGAGGTCAGGACAGAGATCGCGTCGGCTGCTGCACACAGACAAGTCATGTTTTCAAAGATGGTGTTTTGTGGTTGCTATATCTTCTGGGCTTTGGTGGAGTCTCAATCAATTCCCAGCCAGTGGCTCAGTTGTCCTATCATGACTATAGATGCACATCATTGTGCCGTGTCAAACGATGATGCTAGAGAGTTGCTGGAGAACAGTGTCGGATTTCGTGCTATCTGGTGAACAAACCAGATTTGCTAGTAGCTAGCTAGACCATGGGATTGGGTCTCAAGACTATGGGTTGGATCGTTGGATCCAGCTTGTTGCTTGTGACAGCTAGCTACCGGTACCAGTACTTTGTACCGTGGTGCTAGTACCGGTACACCTACCGGTACCGTACGGTACGGGTTCTCTCTATCCGGTACGCTACCTGGTACAGTACCGGTACGGCCGTACGGTACGGTACGTCGGTCTACTAAGTACATCAAGGAGCGAACACGAGTCTCAGTCCTGCTTTGCTCTGGTTATTAGAGTTATGGTCTAGTGTGAAAGCTGAGACGGGCGGGTACGTCAGATATTTCCTAGAGGGTCCCAGCTACTGGTACATTCTTACTGGTCCAGTACAGCTGCCTGGACTGTTCTCTTCAAGAAATAATTATTGTCCGTACGGCTGTACTCGTACCGGTACAGGAAAGTCAGATAGTTAGTACGACTGTACTCGGAGAGCTATTTATTAATACTCTGATTACTGAGTACGACTACTGCTCAAGTACTGTGCACTGCGTATCCAGTACAGTAGCTACTAACTGACGACCATCATGTTTTGTTTCCATGGTAAAATATGCGCGAGTAAGGTATTGGCATTGTGGGGAGCTTATATTTGCATGGAGCTGTGCGTGATAAATAGATTTATTCTCATATCCATGCTAAATAATATTTTATCAGTAATACTAGAATACTAGAGTACACTTTGACCAGTACTGCCGTACGAGAGACCCTCAAACGCACGCGATGTAATACATGTAATACGTACAATGCGTATTCTACGTATTCCCGTATAATACGTATAACACGTATTACACGGTCGCCAGCCAGCCACCGTGACCGTGAGTGACCGTTCGTTCGAAAATGTGCTTCAACCCAATCTCCACCCAATCTCCACCACAAAGAACCACCATGAACAACAACCTCTCTCCCTTGTTTGTTTGAAGGATACAGAGGTTTCTGTTGTTATTTGAAGATAGTACCATCATTGTGGGTAAGTAGCCGCTCCAGCAGCCGCTCCAGCAGCCGCTCCCTCTCCAGTAGCCCCAGCAGGCAATCCGGCTTCATCTTCCTCTGAGGAAGATGAAGATAGCAGCGTATCAGACCGTGTGAAGAGAAAGAAAAGGGCAAAGAGGAATGGCTAGATTATCTTTTTGATTTCTTGGCGGGACTGGTCAATGGCTTTCCTGACACTCTTTCTTGATTTTCGGAAAATAAGTCCTTTTTTAGGAAGAAAGACTCTACCAGGAAAACCTTCAGCTTTTCTATCAGTTCTCCCCCCAATCTTCCTCTGTGAGATACCTCGTCTTCGTCAAGGTAATGCATGAGCACTGCTGAGACAAATCCGCTTCTTCTCTTGTCTGATATCGGCAAATTTCCATAGCCAAGACACGATCATCTCCCACTCAATCACATCGTCAGTCTCTGTCAATTGTGCAATGATGGATTGAATTTGGATGATTTGGTAAGATTTTGTTCAGCTTGTGCCAATTAAAAAGCTGAACTACAGCATTTGAGAATGGTCTGCCAACACCGTTCTGTTGTTGTAACATCATTAACACTTCATCGTCTTCATCATGAGCAGCCACTTCTACTCTCGACAGAGTTTTGGCCGAATGAAGTCGGGGCATGGCATTTCGGTAGAACCACTTGAATATCCACTTTGAAGCAAATGGTAACAATGCCCATGTTGGCTGAAAGACTGCCCATGCAGCTATCCCAGACTCTATTTGTAATTCCCTCTTTTCGGAGTTTGTTTTGTAGGTGATATCACCAGACCTGAACTCGGGTTACATTTGGAACAATCTCTGGGTAACTTTCCCCGTCCAGGTAAGTGCAAGCAAAATCATTCAAGAACCTGTAATGGATAGAGCGTCTCTTACTTTTTCGCAAAGGATTCAGCACTGTCCTGATTCATCTGTTAGTGATTCAGGATCAATGTTCTGAGGTTGGCTCCCCTATGTGATTGTCTGATCGAAGAAGGCCGGAGTCAATATGAGCCAAATAAAACAACGAACCGCATTTTGTTGGTCGGATTGGCAATCGGGCCAATACCTGTCTAACCGCAGTGTCGCCCTGATGCGGTAACTTGAAGAGATGGTAACCGTCTTGGCCTTCACTCAAAGACAGAGACAAACTCCTTGATGCAAGCTCTTCCTTAGAGATTCGATTTGTTTCGAAGTTAGAGATGAGCCTGTCCGTTCATAAAGTAAAGTCTTAACAACACTTGGCGAGAGGTGGTTCTTTAAAGGCATTGTTCCGCTAGTGTAACGGCTTCTGTGCCAAGATGAGTACTTAACACTTTCACTTGTGCCTCTTCTAGTTGTACATGGCCACGATGAAGCTTGTTGCCTGTCTGGAACTTGGGTAGATACCATCGTCTGTGTTCCTGGCTATATAGAACATTGAAAGAGAATGGACATTTGACACCCTCCCCCTCAACAGGAAGCTGAGTCTGGGTGGTTTTGTTGCTGTCCTTTTGGGACCTTTGTTTGTAAAAACGACTCCTTGGACAACATATGGTAATGTGATTCCGCCTCTTATCAAATCCCTTGTTTTTGATGCGGAATCCAGCAGTCTTGCAAGGAAGTACAAAGTATGGCATCAAAACTTCTTTAATATGCGCCGGATCACAAGATTGATACATCGAAGGTAGCCAATACACCGTCGATTTCTCCATTCGATAATTATCGAACCCCAGAGTATCCATAATGTTTATCTCCTTTGGCGTATCATCAGCTAGTGAGGTTGCTACATTCACAATGATGGAAGCAGGAGTCCATTCTTCATCATTGATATTGTATCTAGCAACATGAGAGAGTTCAGATAGGTAAGAGTCCATTTTACTTGATAAGCTGTCAGGTATTATGGCCTGCAACAGTGCATCTTCCTCTCTGCCTCCCAAACACCTGGCAAAACACCTTGCTAAGAAAACACCTGGCAAAAAAACTTAGCAAAAATTCGTCGCTGTGTATTATACGTAAAATACGTACAACACATAATACATGTAATACGTCAAATACGTACAACACATAATACATGTAATACGTATAATATTGTTCCACTTGTGTTATCTGTGTTATACGTATAACTTGTCTAATACATATTAAAAATGTTATATGTGTAATACGTATGATCTGTAGAATACATAGTGAAAATGTTATACGTATAATACAACCGCGTGCGTTTCAGGGGCTCTCATGCTTCTTTCTAAGCTGAAGAAGCGTGAACGGATCGATTCACTCAGTATCACGTGACTCTTATATCTTGAATTTTCCCTGCACAACCAGTGCGTTAATAAAGTCTCCACGTCAGCAAATATAGTGAGACGTTTTGATATCTGACTGGCTCTTTCGTGCGGTTAAACGTGAACCTCTATAAACCATATGAAGAACGCATTAAATCCTGGTTGAAGATGGTTCCAGCACTATCAAAGGTTCAGTACCAGTGATACATTCTTGATGTTCACCGGCTGCACCACAGGGCACACCGTACCCAATCTTTTTCACAGCGCTTGCCACCAAAGCGTAAGCCAATATCCACCATCACTATGAGATCATTCCACCATTCCACCTGTGCTCTGTACCAATTGCTACATGTACTAGGACCTCCCCACCTCGCCTCGTGCCCACACAAGATCAAACTTTTTGTTGTTGGTTTACTCGTCTCATCATAATCCAACAATGCCTCCTCCAGCACCACCCTCATCGTCGCGGGCTT